TTTAGAATCGAAAGCGTTTCATTAGATTCACAAATTTGGACTTTGTACTTCTGGACATGAATTTTACTTTCACACTTTCATTGTATAATTTGTACTTAAAAATTAATTCTATTACGTTATGACACCTCGAGAAAGATAATAATAATTATTACAAATGATATGATAACCCTAAATACCTTTCGTACAAAGTTCAACTGTGTTTTATGTAACGAAACCAAGTGTCCGGATACTTGTGGACGGTAGTGTATCTGAAGAGATGAAACTTTATGAGCAAAAAAAGAGATGCTATACAAACATTACTGTAAACTTCATTTACAACATACTGTTAAGCACAGAGGAATAATGTAACTTCGTAAAGTTAGCGAATATTTGAAAGAGGGTAAAAAAAGAATGTTACAAATATCCACTAAAACTAGCCTGCCATAAATCCTTCGTATTTTACAACATAGTGAACTACATTTCAGGAGGTCTTTAAGAGCATCACGATCACCCCATACCGTGGGATGTTAATCTCCGCAAGATAATCCAAGAAATGTCCAGTTACAGCATGTCCAGAACAAAAGGTAGACGAAGTTGAAGAAGTCCATTAGTATGAAAATGCGATAGGAAGACGAGAATTTGAATAAACATACGGCGGAAGCTCCCGTTCCTACCAACGTGCGCTCGCGTTTTTCCTCGCCCCGTCATGTCCGCGGTTCAGACAAGGCGAGCACGAACCTCTCAACTTATTTTATTTAAACTTTTATAATTCGAAGACCGAACGTGTTTCTTGCGGGCCGCCTTCAACGACCCAGTAGTATGCTTTACGATGGCTCAGACCTGGGGTTGAATCGCCCTTTTACCGCTGAAATCGTCCCTCCTTCTTTCATTTCTAACCTTAATTTCCATTCATTAAAGAATACCCATCGAAACTTGATTTCGGAATCGTAAAAAAGTTGGTTAAATGTCCGAGGAAGTGCTCGGTTTTCTTCGAAGGTTATATTTTAAAGGATTTGTAACACAGTGGCAATGTAACTGTTTTTTTTTTGTCACAGGTGATCATCGTTACGAGTGCCAGATAAAAATAGGAGTTGCAGATAAACTTTCGACGACGAGCTCAAGTATAACTGTACAGCTGACTCTCGTTATATTGCCACATTTGGACATCATATTATTATCGCAAGACACGAAGATCTACAAAATCTAACTCTACACGCTGCATATCGTCACGCGCTCCAACTCCATGCTAGGTATCGTCACGCGAAGTAAAGTCCGGATCCCAAAACTTCAAAGCAGTAAACAAAATTTGCAAACTTTGGTGCGAAGGAAGAGAATCGCATTAATTGTAGTAACACGCCAAAAAAGAGAACCGAAAGCACGTGATTTATTGTTAGTTCTCCAGTGTTCCCGCAATTATGATCCATCCGCGGCACGAGCGCCACCGTCAGATTTACGGTACAGCCAAACCTCCGCCTCCCTCCTATTGCCGGCACAGTTTCATCAGCCACGCTTTTTAGAATTCATTTTCGGCTTTAAGCTTCATTTCTCTACGGGCAACGGAATTAAGCTCGCGAGGGGGAGAGGGAGGGGTTGTTCGTAGGGGGGACAAACGGCAGATTGGTAGGCGTTACCAGAGCAGCTGGTACACTTAAGGGGTCCACCGGTAACGAACAACAATCCTTCCACCTCCAATCTCTGATACCCTTCTCGTACTCGTGCATACGCGTGATGCACAATAACAACAATACTGAGGTTATACCGCGGCAACAATTCTCTGGCTTTTTTTGTAATTTACGAGGTTACGAACGCGACCGACAGAATTACGATCCACCCTCCTGTGGATGCGTCGCGTTTGCGCGATCCTGGATACACTTCGTTTAATCTGACGGTGGAAGGAACATTTTATCCCCGTTTGTTTCCGCCGATCATTGGGGGGATAGGTTAGGTGCGTTTTGCGTTATGGCTGTTTTTGGAAGTGGGTTAGCTGTAGATGATTAACGATACCACCGATTTTTATTAGCTTAGAGATTGAAATTTTGTATTGGTTCTGTAAAATAGATTAGGTCTTGAAATACTCTTTGTTGCAAATATAGAATAGGAGTACGTTTAGGTGAGGTTAATCATAGCTGACTTAAATTTAAGTTACTCAACATAGCTTCAAATTCAAGTGCTTGAAAAATAATAACTAGCTTATAGCTCTGAGGTTTATGCTGAAACCACGTTCAATCTGAGCCGAGTATATCTTACAGAAACAAGATTAAATTGTATAAAGCAATTGAACAAGATTTAAAACGAGAAAGAAGAGTCACAAGCCCGAATATCCGGAAGCCCGGTAACTTGTTAATTTATCGATCAAAACTCACGCGACATGCCTGAAATTCGCGACATGATTTATAAGTGGAACGAACGACTCTGCCAGGGTGAATTTTTAGACAAATCACCCTGTTCAACGACTCGCGACCATTTGCATACGCTTATTTTGTCAATACAGCTTGCGTTCGGACAAAAAATTCGACGGTCTTGTACAAACACCATGGGAAACGTAAACTCAAATTTCTGGTCTTGTCATCGTGATATGATAAAAAGCCTTTTACAATTTTCCTCGTGTCCTTAATTATTGCAAAAAGAATGCAAATTACGTACACAACGCGCCTCTGCGGTTATACTCCTGCGCGATTATACACATATTTCAAAGATTCCATAGATAGAAACGCTGCGCATATAAACATAGAGAAACTTAAAACTGCAAGAAACTGTAGAGACACGTGTCTCATAGACCTAAATTTGCCGAGTACTCTCTCTGTTCTGTATTAGAAAATATTTTCTTCTCCAGTTGCATTTTATCGTTCAAGGAACTCAATTGTTACCGATCAAAATCATGCTCCCAAAGGTCTCTATAGTTCACCTACAGTATCACACCTCCCAGAGAGAGTACTCAGCAGCTACTAAATTCAACCAATTAATCAAGAAGATGATACAGCATTTATGTCGTTCATTGTTTCAACGTTGATGACTTTTTTAGCATACGAATGTATATAGGCCGAGAGGACGCGGTTGACTAATGCCCTGGGACAGTGGGAGTTGACGTTTGTCGTGGCGGTGCCTAGCGTGCTGCCGTTCCACCTACTACCCCTAACTACCCCTCCCCCAGATACCCGTGTCTTCCCTTTCGAAGCCCTGTTCCGGCGTTCACGCTGGCTCGGCCCATCAGGACTCATAATTGTCCTCGTCCGAACTGGCGTATCGCGACCCAACTACACGAAAGTGGTTATGCGCATTCCTATTCACCGGAAGCATACGGGACGCTAATCGCAGATGCGGTAGCGATGGGATCAAATGTGGAACCGATACGCAAATCGCTAATGAGCTAGTTTTATTTCTTTTGCAAATATTAAAGTTTATGTATGTATTGCTTCCAGGTTAGACAAGAGTAAGCAAGGACTAACAAATGTAGAGGACAAGGGTGGAGGATCTTGAGCACTGGAACTGTTAATTGATGAGGTACATGATGGTATTGCGGGGCAGCTCCAAGGAAGCAGGAACGTCAGCAGTAGGAATGTGATACCATAATGGATAGGACAGCCACCTGTAAAAGTGAAACAGTTTCAGTACTTAATCTGAAGGGATACATGTTCTTTGTCTACTAATGTGGACCATCAATAAATAGCAAGTCCCTTCCTCTAAAAGGTATGTCATCGCAACAAATCCCAAGTATTAAAAACGTGAGATTACTGCAAAATATCGTTTCAGAGTTTGAATGGAAGAATAACTCGTGACAAGGGGAATCGAATACCCATCGCTAGAGCCAAAGAGACAACCCGACCCCTCGTCCCTCGGCAGAATACTTGAATATTGATTAAGCATGCACATCGCGATTACTGGAAGCAGGTAAAAGCGCTCCTGGTTGGGCTGCGTGTCTGCGGATATTTATACGGGACGTTGTCTCTGTCCCACTGCAACAGGAAAGTCTCAAAGACCGTGGTCCTAACCGTGACTCGTTTAAAGAAACCTCGCTTTAAAAACTTCGATAAAAATTGTACTCGCGTTTCCTTAACTTCGTTTATTTACCAGGTCACTTTGTCGTGCAAAAAATTATTACGAGCAAGAAAAATGATGTTAGAAGTTAACTCGTCATTAGAACATCCGATCGATCAGAATTAACCGTTCCACCTGATGGTACCTCTCCACGAAACGATCGAATCTATTCTTCGACTTCTAAAACCATTATCCACGGCGTAAGAACCGACCAGACTGCATGCTATTTGGTTTACGATCAGCTTTTCAAGGATCAACCTTCTCGACTCATTGTTCCGCCGCGGTCTGGCCTACTTCCAGAATGATCAGCCGAGTGGCGGAGAGCTCGTTCCTGTTTTCAGCGTGGAATTTAGTTTCCTTTGTCGCACTGTTACGTCTGGAGATCCACTCGAGGACCTAGCTAACTTTTTCGTTCAAACGGAACGCGTATCGTCACATATTCTTTGAAAACCTTGTTCGATATTGCTAACAGAGCGGTGACATCGTTTAAAACGTTACGAAATACCATCAGAAGCGAAGACAAAAGGAAGCTCTTGTTGTTGAGTGATAGCAGTAAGCTCGTTGCGTAGCTTTCGAGATGTCACCGACAGTTTGAAGTCTAAATCCAGCCAATTCTCTGGACCAACTCTGCGTGGTAATAAAAATTCTTAATCGGTTGACGCACACCTTAACATGTGAAACTTCAATTTGAAATCCAAATTGCTATTCGAAATGTCAGTAACAGATTTCGTTTCGCAATATTGCAGAAAAAAGTTTTTCACGACCAAGCCTGTACGCGGAGGCGTAGACTAGCAACCATGTGGCCAACTAGCCGTTGACTTCCTCGTTCTTGACCACGATCAACCACCACTCGACACCGGGTTTACGATGAAAAAAAGCGACGTAGAACAAAAGGGAGGAGAGAAGCCCTCGAGTTTTTGAATATTCAGTAGGTACATCCTGGTCGACTTCCACCTGACTCTCTTTCAGCGGGGAAAAATCGGCACGTTCCGGGTCGTATACGGGCCAAGACATGCCGACACCGACGCTGATACAACTTTTAATTACTTTCCGGAGAAATAAAACGCCCCCAGAGGTGGTTGACTTTCATCACGTGGATCAAGATAGATCGCTTACAGAAAGATGTTCACAGTTTCGTTTACCGACAGATATTGGGCAATTTTATCAACTGCGGATACGCAGGATGGTCGTGAAATCTTCTTTATCGATGGGGGACATTTATACCGACAGAAGATAATAATGGCACATAAATCTATCGGTAATGTCAACTGAAATCTTCTTTATCGATGGGGGACATTTATACCGACAGAAATTAATAATGGCACATAAATCTATCGGTAATGTGGACTGAAATCTTCCTTGTCGACACAGAGATATTTTTAGCGTTCGTCCTTATCGACGCTCGATATCTTACCGACAGAGAACTCTGCCTCGTGTTTATCAACGCAAGCTCAAAAAAAAGAAGTAACAGCTTTGAATAGAAAAAGACTTACCGGGGAAGTTGCAGTCGTGCTCGTCGCTTCCATCGTCGCATTCGTTGATGAAGTTGCATCGATGCGATTCCAAGATACACCTGGACACGTCACAGGCGAACTCCCCAGCGCTGCATCCTATAATTCAAGGCTCGTTACTTTATCTGACAGTATAATGAATCATCTTTTTGCATATGTATAAGAATGAAGATGACAAGAAACGAGAGACCAAAAGAAACTTGGCCTCTTTGTTTATCAGAACAAAGCAACAAAAAAGAAGTCATGCAATCTGTTTATGATACAATATGTACAATACTATGGGACGTTTCAAGGCTTATCCGAAACGACTCTGTACCTGGATGGGGGCAGCCAATTTCGTCACTACCGTCGTCGCAATCCGGCACGCCGTCACATTTCTGTACAGAGCAAATGTAACGACTTCCGTCGGAACAGCGTACCGTGTCGTCGGCACGACACCTGTCCGCGGCGGGTCTCAAAGTAGTCTCATCGAAATCTTCCTCTTCTTCTGGTTCTCGGACAGTCTGCGACTCCTCAGGTTCTTGGTTCCCTCTGAACGACACATGGCTCGCGCCGGCCGAGACTACAGAGTGGGTGGGCACTAATATGTCACGGTACCGGGTGTGTTTGGATGATAAGGAATCAAAACATGAAGAAAGAAAAAATAACACAAAAATGGTATGAATAGTTATACATGTATAGAGTCACCTGGTCAGCCTTTTTACAAAGGTGAAGCCGACAACTCTTGAGAGATGAAAGCATGCAATGAAGTTAATTACATCGAATATCGCGACTGCGTTATTTACTAGCAATGTACAACAGATCAAGTACGAGTAATAACATAGTAAAATGAAGTGTAACGGAATTTGAACTCAGCGAATAAAATCTCGTTAGTACCTGAGTATCGCTTTGTGTATTTACAGAGCTATCTACAGATCATGATCATGAGTTTGTCTGTTTACTCACGTGTAGTCTTAGGACAGTCCAGTTCATCGGAACCGTCCTCGCACTGGGCAATGCCGTCGCACCTGGAGTCTAATGGTACGCATGCATTTGCGTCTCTACACCTTAACTCTGTCGATGGGTCACATTCCAGCTCATCTACGTCTCTTTCAGCTGATAGTGTATTGTGTGGGTGTGTTTCATCGTGTACAAAAAGATGCAACAGAAAGTAAAAAACAACATAAGAGGTGTGGTACAATGACTAACAAATGAGAAATAATATTTCGTGCACACATAATTGCAAACTGATCGATTCCTTGACAGAGACCCAGACACCGAAAGTTCCCCGACGTTCATCGATCTCCCGTCCGAGGTGAACTTCGTCTTCGTATGACAGCTATCGAATTACGAATCACGCACGAGATGCTCCGTTCAGGAATCGATCATTTTTCCCACCAGTACATCGCCGCGATATACCTTGGAACACTCTGAACGAGAATCCCTCCGGACGAAGTTGGATGTTGCCCAACGAGTGGATCTGCAGCTGTTGCTCGAGGATGTTCTTCACCTCCAACTCATCCGTGAACGTCGAGCCAATGTCTAAAGTAACTTGTGACGTGAAGCTGTCGGTCGTTGGCCTAAAACAACCAGGAAAATTCTTAGCATTCCTCGAATGTCCGTAGGCTGAGCCAGAGTGACCCAGTGGCTTAGGTAACTGATCTATTTCCAATTCCGCCAGATGTGTTTTTGAAACTAAACGTATTCCAACATGTCTGCGACAATAAAGACATCTGGAGGAATCGGGAGTCAAGGTTGCTCCAGGTGCCGCAAGGTCATCGCGAACTCAGTCTTGAAGAACCTTAGCATTCGATTGTGCTTACGATATTTTCACGACATTCGCATGGTGGTTCTCGTTGGGAATATGTCGTGTGTACAGTTCTTCGAGGGGTTGCGTTAGGTTGCCGCTAAGCTCCCTGTACTCCCGGCTATTTCTGTCCGCATACTCGCGTCTGTAGGGTTCAGCGACAGTCAGTGTGATCCTGTAGTATTCTGCAACACCATAACCATATTTGTAAACCTTGCACACTGTCAGCCCATGTATAACCATGAACAGTTACGTACTTATTTTTCGTGGGAACGTAGGAGGATAAAGGTTAACAAATGCGCTGCCTTCCGCTTCACCAGACCCAGCCAGATCTTCGTCGTCCGTATTCTCAAAGTCGACCGGGTCTCTTCGACCCTCGGCCGCGTTACCGATCTCGTTTTCCTCTGCAGCCTCGTCGTATTCGTCTCCGTTCTGCAGGGCGAGCTTCTCCAAGTTAGCTGGTTCTTTTTCGTTGGAAGCTTGGGCGTCTCCATCGTCGTCAGGATCTGCTGGGGGCAAATTCTCGAGCTCGTCTTCGGCGTTGTCTTCCTCTTGATCTGCGAGGATCAAAAGAAAACCGGTTGAGGTGAAATGCACCACGATGAAGATAGATACGGGTTGCGATACAATACCTGCTGTTGCCTCGGTGGTTGGCGCCGCTGTCGAAGTGCCTGTGGTAAACAAGTCGAAGAATCCTCTCTTTATCCGATGAAGCATCGACTCTCGCTGATGTGTCTCTATCAGCGGAGCTTCGTTGAACGACTGCTTGCCATCCTGGTCGAACACCAAGTCGTCATTCTGCAAATAAATAGTACCATCAGTCTTGCAATTTTTTATTATAAATAAAATCACATATTTATCAAGTTATAAATTTAAGATTAATGTGCCAGGCGTGTCACATTTACTCGCGAGAATCATGTCAAGGACATACAACTTTGTTCAAGGTTTTAACTCTCATTACAGAACACCTTGAAAGCATTCGACAAAAGCCGAAAGAAACGTAATCCGAAGATGTTCCCGAGCATCCACCCTCTCCATCGCTACAAATCAGTCTGTATATCGGCAAGTGTGCTCACGTGCCGCTCATAAAGAACCAATTCTCACCTAAACACGCGATATAAATTCAGAATCGACCGGCACCGCCGTGATTCGCAACAAGCTGGCCAGAATTCAACGAGTCATGGGTCAACGACGCCCCTGCTTCGCGCGAGCAGACGCGGTGAAATAAAGTATCGTTAGAGAAAGAAAACGGCTGACGAGCTTATGCAACGCGACCGTGTATCGATATTGTGCTACAGGAATAACAAACTGGATATCTCCTCAGGGACCCTACGTGACCCTTCGTCGAATCAAACGGTCCTGAAGAGATATAAAGCGTTCTTCAAGGATCGTTACTGTCCTAGTGTCCTAGTTTTATGACGGATCGCGGGATATTGGAGATTTCGGTTTGCTCTTGACTTGCAATTCATGTAGAGGATAAATCATTTAAGTCCACATAAATTACAGAAAAGTTGAACTTCGATAAAAAATTAAGTTGAATCTACTCAAGGTTTAATGCAAGTTCAAGTAACTTGTGGACTCAACGAAAGATGAACTTAGACTCAATTTAAGCTAACATGCTATTGAACTGAACCTAGAGAAGAGACCTAAAGAGACCTAGAGAGAATATAAATATAATTTTAAAGACACGTAGGTTAATGATTTAACATCTCCCAGAGATGACGTCGAATCAGTGTTGCAAAAAGTAGACAACGAAAAAAGTAACCATCTGGCGGATACGTCCAATAAAAGCTAATATTTAGCGTTCCAATGCACCAGACGCGTGCACAAGGCACGAGATGCGCCTTGGTGCAGCGCGTGACCGGAAGTACCGACGCGGTTTTCCTGCTCGTGCATCGCGTTAATGAAGCTTAAATCGGTTCAGACGGAATGTATTATTACGTTCACGCGTTCGTTAAAGCGCACGCGAAACAATCCACGTTTGTCCGCGCGGTTCCACGCGTAGGATGAGACACATCGTGTACACCCATTATGTAACCACGACCGACGCCTCGTCGAGGATAATGACACGACCTAACGCCTTTAATTTCTATTCTAACCGGACTATAATTAGACTCGCTTAAACACTCATTCAATTTTAAGGACATTTCAGTTCAACTAACAGTGCTGGATTAAGTTAGTTAGTGCTTAAGTTAGATTCAGTTAAGTTAGATTGTCAGGTACATTCACCTTGATTTAAATGAAGTTTCAGTTCATATAAATTACATTGAGTCACCTAAATTAGATTCATTTTACATAACCTTCAATAAATTTACTGAAGTGATTCAAATGAAGTTTCAGTTCATGTAAATTACATTGAGTCACCTAAGTTAGATTCATTTTACATAACCTTCAATAAATTTACTGAAGTGATTCAAATGAAGTTTCAGTTCATGTAAATTACATTGAGTCACCTAAGTTAGATTCATTTTACATAACCTTCAATAAATTTACTGAAGTGATTCAAATGAAGTTTCAGTTCATGTAAATTACATTGAGTCACCTAAGTTAGATTCATTTTACATAACCTTCAATAAATTTACTGAAGTGATTCAAATGAAGTTTCAGTTCATGTAAATTACATTGAGTCACCTAAGTTAGATTCATTTTACATAACCTTCAATAAATTTACTGAAGTGATTCAAATGAAGTTTCAGTTCATGTAAATTACATTGAGTCACCTAAGTTAGATTCATTTTACATAACCTTCAATAAATTTACTGAAGTGATTCAAATGAAGTTTCAGTTCATGTAAATTACATTGAGTCACCTAAGTTAGATTCATTTTACATAACCTTCAATAAATTTACTGAAGTGATTCAAATGAAGTTTCAGTTCATGTAAATTACATTGAGTCACCTAAGTTAGATTCATTTTACATAACCTTCAATAAATTTACTGAAGTGATTCAAATGAAGTTTCAGTTCATGTAAATTACATTGAGTCACCTAAGTTAGATTCATTTTACATAACCTTCAATAAATTTACTGAAGTGATTCAAATGAAGTTTCAGTTCATGTAAATTACATTGAGTCACCTAAGTTAGATTCATTTTACATAACCTTCAATAAATTTACTGAAGTGATTCAAATGAAGTTTCAGTTCATGTAAATTACATTGAGTCACCTAAGTTAGATTCATTTTACATAACCTTCAATAAATTTACTGAAGTGATTCAAATGAAGTTTCAGTTCATGTAAATTACATTGAGTCACCTAAGTTAGATTCATTTTACATAACCTTCAATAAATTTACTGAAGTGATTCAAATGAAGTTTCAGTTCATGTAAATTACATTGAGTCACCTAAGTTAGATTCATTTTACATAACCTTCAATAAATTTACTGAAGTGATTCAAATGAAGTTTCAGTTCATGTAAATTACATTGAGTCACCTAAGTTAGATTCATTTTACATAACCTTCAATAAATTTACTGAAGTGATTCAAATGAAGTTTCAGTTCATGTAAATTACATTGAGTCACCTAAGTTAGATTCATTTTACATAACCTTCAATAAATTTACTGAAGTGATTCAAATGAAGTTTCAGTTCATGTAAATTACATTGAGTCACCTAAGTTAGATTCATTTTACATAACCTTCAATAAATTTACTGAAGTGATTCAAATGAAGTTTCAGTTCATGTAAATTACATTGAGTCACCTAAGTTAGATTCATTTTACATAACCTTCAATAAATTTACTGAAGTGATTCAAATGAAGTTTCAGTTCATGTAAATTACATTGAGTCACCTAAGTTAGATTCATTTTACATAACCTTCAATAAATTTACATTGATCCTGAATTGGGTTAAGTTAACTGAGTCTCAAGTGTACACTGTCAATCGCTCATTCTTATCCGAAGCTGCATTCATCCGGCGTTTTCACGAAATCACGGAAACGTGGACACGCTCAAACAAGATAAATCCACGATAACTCGTCACGCATCCTGCAACGTTCGACGACTGTTTCAAGCTCGTTATGTTCGTGACCTCTTCAACGTCGGAATTTCTGCTCGAGAAACGCTGAAAGCTTCACGTTTTTGGAGCCTCCGAAACGCAACGTTTCAAGGAACTTGTTTCGCTCGAAGAGCTGCGAATGGGTGGTCTTTAGATGTTTCTCTTCGCGATAAAATGCTTGTACCATCAAAGATTATACTGCCACGCGCTATATCGCCATGTATTGTGTCCCTACATGTTAGATTCTCACACATCCACATACATTAGACTTCCATACATCACTTCTTCGTGTACTTCACGTGCTACTATACGCTACACTCCTGTTATATCGCCTCATCCGTTATATAGTCTTTCCAAGTGTTCAGCAACCTAAAAGAATAAGAATTGTAATTCTAATCAAAGAGTAGGGGTGTCAATGAACCCATTAAAGATCACGAATCGTAAATGTCCATAAAAGAGCAAAAGGGGGGGAAGAATAGTATGGCGGGTCGTACAGGGTGGCATGAACGAGCTTCGAGACGAGACTTTGTTATTCCAGGCAAGTTTTACACGGGATTTCCCGGCTAAGTCCACTCTATGATCCTTTCACGACAACTACGTGCTCATACTTCGACAAAACAGCGGGGCCCGCGGTGTCCGAAATCCTTAAAATGCATGGGAAATACGTGTCGGGGCAGGTTAAGTGGCCAGCGGGAAATTCGTCCTCGGAACTTTGAAGCTTCTCGGGGACAAACTTGCAGCCAAACACCGACACTCCACCCACCGCAAACTGTCGGTCAATTTCACGCGACCTATCGCTTCTTTGATCCTCCCTTATTTGACTGCTTCAAACAACCCCCATGATGCTTCCACAACTGTCATAAATACTGACGCTATTTCTTTGATATCATTACGTATCATTTGTTGAACGTAACCCTGAAGAACTGGCTTAAAATTGCCATATCAATTTCACGTCCTCTATCAGTGATATTTCGAAATCAGAAACCTCATTTTGGAACAGGTTGCAAGGCTCGAAAGTCCCTGAAGAAAGAGGCAGGTAAAAGAGGAAGGAGCTAAGGGTCGTTAAACTCGGTGCAAAAATGAGTCCAGCACGATGAGTCACCGCTCGTGGAGAACTGGTCCTGAAAAATAAGTCTCGCGCCTCTCCTCTGCTGTCTGTGTCGTTAAACTCCGTTTGCAGTTTGCCTGCACGTGTCGATTGCATAATGCAGCCAAGAAACGCGACTAAAAACGTTTCAAAGCTGATGCAGCTCGCTATAACGATTCCACTAACTTTTCTTGCTGGAAACAAACAAACGGATAATTATTACCCGGCACGGTCATCTCTCATAATGAGAAGAGAATACATCTTTATCTTCTAGTTATAATTTCAAAAATATAATCTTGATTATAAAATGACGTTGTATATCCAAAATGGCGACATATTGCGCAGTACTTCAAATTAGATCACCCTGGATAGCACACCTTGTTTTCATTCTCATGTAATTAAGAAGTCTCTATGAAGACTAGTGGCATAGACAGTAGACCTTCTGTAAACTCGAGGCACATGTGACTTCACAATAGACATGTGCTCAGGTTATTCAACCATATGAAGTCCTCTGCTTTCTTTGTTGGTCTCTTTGAGCTATTGTAATGATCGAATACTCTATTTAGCTTTATAACAGTCATTTATTGCCCTAGACTTTATAAAAGTGGAGTATGACACACATAGGTACGCAGCTCCATGAACCTCGTACAGCATCCCAGAGCTATTCTGCTGCTAGCTTCATATGAGGGTACGCTTCAAACTACATGGAGGGTAGCTGAAGATACTTCATATCAATGAAGCTGGTAACTGTTTTAAGATTGTACCTCGTTTATAACACTGCACATGCGTCCTCCTAGAAGACTTTCGACCCGCTGCATCCACCCTAACCTACATCAATATTAGGCTACTCAAACGTTCACGGGCACCTGTCTGTCTAAGACAGTTTGATCACAGGGAGATCGGAGCAGAGGCTCCAGGTGAAATATGGCGGCCCAGGATCAGGTATGGAACGTCTCTCAAAGGTCAAGACCCGGCACGTTCCGCGAGGCGGAGAGAAAGAAATCCCCCAATTCGAAGGACTTTCCCGGAGGCTTCAACTTAACGAAAATATACGTCCATCGCTGGAAGACGAGTCGGCGGCCGTGGAGAAGTAGCGAAGGTAGGACCAGGTCCGATCGTTCTTTGTCTTAAGCCGTGCTATATTAATGCGACGAGCATGCCACGCGCGGGCAAGCCGCGAGAGGAGAGCGGAGCGGAAGAACTCTAGGCGCGGAAAAGAGGGCCGTCGCCGGGCGGAATACTAAGGAGCACACACGCCTGCCGAATCTTGCGGAGAGCCAGGGGGCGCCTTTGCATTTTAACAGCCTTCGAGAACCGACTTTTGCCGCCAGTGGAACGTGGACAGGTATTCCAGGCGAAGAAGAGGGACGTTAATTTGAAGCACAGTCTGATGGAAGGGTGAGGCCTATGGTGGACCATGAGGACCTGAAAGTTTATGACCTTTTTAGCAACATCCTCACTTTACTGTTTAATCTTGAGAACTTTGGAGCTGGTAATCCTGAAGTTTCTGCAACTGCTAGCTGAAGATTCTGGAACTTAATCTTGAAGACTATGGGACTATGGGACTGGTACTCTCTAATCTTGAAGACTTTGGCACTGTTTAATCCTGACTAGGACTGTTTAATATTGAAGAATCTAAACATGTTTAGAACACTCTGAGACTATTTATCACTCCATCTCTTAGTACCTTGTGATACACCCACATTCTTAAATTATGAATACTGAAATACAGTCACCAAGTTAGGTTCAAGCCGTAGAAAAAAATCCTACCTAACCTAAAGTCACTGTATGATCCAAAGCTGACCTTGTACCTTGGCATACACCCACATTCTTAAATTATGAATAATGAAATACAGTCACCAAGTTAGGTTCAAGCCATAGACAAAAATCCTACCTAACCTAAAGTCACTGTATGATCTAAAGCTGACCTTGTACCTTGTCATATACCCACATCTTAAATTACAAATACTGAAATACAGTCACCAAGTTAGGTTCAAGCCCTAGACAAAAATCCTACCTAACCTAAAGTCACTGTATGATCTAAAGCTGACCTTGTACCTTGTCATATACCCACTTTTTAAATTACAAATACTGAAATACAGTCACCAAGTTAGGTTCAAGCCTTAGACAAAAATCCTACCTAACCTAAAGTCACTGTATGATCTAAAGCTGACCTTGTACCTTGTCATATACCCACTTTTTAAATTACAAATACTGAAATACAGTCACCAAGTTAGGTTCAAGTCCTAGATCCTACCTAACCTAAAGTCACTTCATGATCTAAAGCTGAAAGTCAACCTATGATCTAGAATTCCTGAAGACCATTCTGATCACAACGCAACACGAGCCGTCGAGATCGCCCAGACGAATCCCCCGAGGGAGGTGCGCTAAGAACCATGGTCACGTGTTGATTCCCAGGTCATAGAAAGAGGAAAGGGGATAAGATCCCGAAGCGGATCATCTTATATGAACTTTAATATCGGCCGGTGGGAGACAAGTACCGTTTGCAATCCTCTGAAAAGGGTGAAATTGCGGAAATCATGGTGGTGCCGACTTCCCGTGAAGAAACGTTCTGGTTCGCGAAAAAAATCGGGCCTCGGGCTGCGATCTGCCAGTCACGCGTCACACATCGAAACTACACGTCTTGTTCCGCCGAGGGGAAAAAATAACGCTTCCGGCACTACGTCAGATGTCGATGAGGATTTCAACCGAACTGGCCTTTTCAATTGTCCAACTCGTGATTGGGGAAGTATCAATTAAGCAAATTTTTTTACCTAGACTCAATTAGTTCATCGCGGTAAATTGTTGTTAATTTGTTTACAATTTTCCATTTGTTAGACCTATTATGATTTTGCATGATTTCAGTAATTTCCTGTGAGCTTGCAGTACTTTAGTAGTACCTAGTATTTTTTAAAGGATTTTGAACAGTCTTCCATAACCTTTCAAGGCATCAAAATCATTTTAACTTTCCATTTGCTAAGACTCAATCTTCACAAACTTTCCATAGCTTCTACAAATCTTCCAGAATTCCAAATTTTTCCATTGTCTTTGAAATTTCCAGTTTCAATAACTTTTACAAACTTTCCATGACTTCTGAATTTGCCATTTTTCTTGAAACTTTTCCAACTCCAGTACTCTGAAATTTATACAAAAATTTCATAATAAATTTCATCATAAGTTTTCTATGACTTATGAATTTCATAAAACAAAATTGGACATTTTTTGTATCATTTCAGACTTTTCTGAAAGTCAATTCACAATTACATCATAAAGTATTTATGTTACTCTAGTAACAGAAGAGCTACTTAGAAGATAATCATTCTTAGTGAAAACGTTAGACGATGAATGAATCGATCAGCGTCTAAAAAGGGCTCGTAGCATCGCCACAGGTTTGTTTTCATTGCAAACAAGGAAGAGTCTGTGCACGCACCCTAAATACGTCGGTTAACCGTGTTCGAGTCTCTGTCTCTTTCACCCTCCTTTTTGCACCCCCAGCGGTTTGCCAGACAATTTTCCCCCATTTTCTCTGCTTCTCACCCCTCGCGGTGAAACTCGAGGCGACTCGACAAATTAGAAAGCTCAGTTACCCACTTAACAGCTTTTATTCTCCATCATCGTTTTTCCAATTGTGACTTTTTGGGTCTTCCCTGTACTTCCTCCAAAATGTTCCAATTAATGAAAAAGATCTTAACTAATTTATATTTTACATTATTTTCCATTGCTTAATCAATTTTGTATTCTTCAGAATTTTGTATGCTTCAGAACTTCTCAACTTTTCTTAAGCTTTTCACATCTGTAACTTATTTAAATTATATTACAAATTATTTCTTTAAATATTGTTTACTTAAAATTTTCAAAGTGATTCGATTTGAGTCGTTCATTATTTATTATATATTATTTAATTGTCTGTAACAGTTGTCTAGCAATTGTCTTAAACCTAACCTAACCTCAAAATCCACAGCTCACTCTTTGTTCTCGACTTCGCGTCGAACTGGCTAGACAGAAATAAATCCGCATGGCTTATTCATACATGTAATTACAATCTAACTCCGACGACTACCTGATCGAAAACAATGACTTATTCCTAATCAATCTCGGTAGATTCAATATTAATTCCATGAGTTTATCAGAAGAGCGATAGATTTCGAAGTATTTGAGAACGTTTCGATCTATTCTGGATCAGAGAATATGGGTCTCTCGATGGATTGTTTGCTTTTGCCAAACAGGCGCACCCTCTCCTCCTGCCGATACGAGGCCAAACCAGAACCTACAGCTCTTCTGTTACTTGTCACTCAACTCCCACCAATGCAATCTTAAGTTGTACGTGGATTTTTCTACCGGCTTTTATTCCAGCCTGAAACCGGGATATTTTCGTTTTCGTAATGGCCAACGTGCTTCTCCCTTAAACTCGAGGGATGTTTCCAAAGATTTCAGAGGGCTCAAGACCCCGTTTTCGCAGTTGACAGAGGTTAAGTGGACATGAGACACCTCTTTGGATCGGTCAGCCATGTTTTCAATGAAAATGATACCCTTTGGGTCAAATAATGTTGGGGATGCTTCAGACCCCAATCTTTTGTTCAAACAGTAGAGGCTTTGGATTCTGATATGGTATTTTATACAAATTTGATGGCGTATAATTTTAAATTATGTTTGTTAGCAATTTGACAGTGAAGATGGTTTACTGATCTGTCAATTTAATTCCAGACTTCATCTTCTTCTCTCACATTCAAACATATTACTGTTTCATTTTGTAACACGTTAAGAATCCTGTGTGTGATTTTGCTTAACACGTTGCGAATGTTAGGAACATAATTGATCAGACGTGAAAGATAGTTTGACACGTACTAATTTCACTCAGGTTAATATGATCTTATGTACTATTAGAATGAAATTTTATGGCGGTTTAAAGCGTTGAAGATGGGTAGAGAAGATTGATGTTCGGTCAGATTTAATGACTTAATAAAGTCGAGGATCCAGTTTCTTCAAAGAGTACCGAGACGCGAGGAAAAGCATGAAAAACGTCGGGATGCTCGTCACGTAGGTGATTCCTCTTCTTCTTGCGACGAATTAATGAACGATGCAAGTTGATTCTTTGATATTCTTGTTGCACTAATGGTGGCGTTTAAAGAAATTGGAATTCTAGTTGGGTTTCCCGTGGAGAATTCTAAAGGCTTCTGGGAAATTCTGTGGAATACAAAGAAAATCTGTAAATTACTTCCACCCACTCCTGGAAAATTGTGGAGAATGAAAACTAAGAATGCATTATAAAATAGTGTGTCTGGTTGATGACTTAATTAATGGTTCTTTTATTACTAACTGTTAGTGCGTCATTAAAGTATTTTCTAAATAATTAGGATAAGATTCCGGAACCAGAAGACCACATCCTTAAATAAATGACTTATGTGGACTTAATTTGGACACCACATCCGCCAACCACCAAATTAGTCCTTCCTCTGGTTCCAACGTTATCAAATATTCAAATTGAATTAAATATGACACTGATTTCGACCATGTACTCATTAAATAACGATAAAGGATATCTTCAGAATTCCAGTTACATCTGAGGTGTCACTTTTAAGAAATATGACTAATCAATTCCAGCTATTACCCTTAGCTAATCATACCAATCATACCTCAAGTAACCAAAGGTACAAATGATGAAGAGAGAATCTTGAGGATTTCCAACTGAGTTCCATTAACAAGCCCAACACTTAATGACCCGAAAAAATCGTTGGAACATCAGCCTGAATCAACATCTCCGGTTGGAAAAGAATGAAATCCAGGACGAGGCAGACGTTTTGAAGGAGGTGATGCACAAAGAGGAATTTCCAGGGAGTTTCGGCCACAAAGCAGCCAACAACCAGCGGCAGCCACGATTCGAGCAACGATAGAGCAAATAGGTATGAAAAAGGAACGGGCACAGGAGGTGGGGAGGGTGTGTGGGTGTGCGTCGAGCACCCTCGACAAGCCCTCCACGTTTCTACCACCCTCACCGTCCCCTTCTCTAGTGGCACAAAGAGCGACGAAGAGAGGCTCTGTCGAGCAGCTTACCACGAAACTGCCCTAATAGTCCATTGTCTAGCGTCCCAGCGACAAATCCTCGTTTCTATAGCTCACCATCTTGATGACACGCGAGAATGTTGCCTCGCGACCCTCGCGTTCTAGCAGTCAGAGTCGTTTGAAGGAATTGTTTCGATTATTGTTCGTGCACGATAATCATTTGACAATGCTCAACTTTGACTGCACCTTTCGTGCGCAATCGGAATCGTCGGTTTTATGAATTGCTGTAATTGTTATTTCGAGACACCGTGTACTACGATGAGAACGTCGTCTTCTGGTTCGTGACTCAATGACGGAGAAAGCACGTGGCGGAGAAACGCGGTGACTCACTATCCAGAAATACACCGTACTGTTGGACGAGACTACATATCGATGTCGATCGTTTCTTTTCAATAAATCGGCGCTGGTGACCTGAAAATTTAATGTGGATATAAAAGACGCTTTCTGACAAATTTAAGTAAGTGACAATTGTTATGTTGGCATTTATAATCAACTACATATTACATTATACAAATCACTCTATTACATTAAAGCAATTGAATCAATTTAACCTTGAATCACTCAGTCACCTAATGTATCCAACCAAGTTCATTAATTTCAATTAGACAACTCAACCATTGGCCTAACTGAACAAACAGACTTAACCTACCTCAAAAGTTAATTAACTGATCATTGAAGGAAGTAGCTCAAAGTAGTTAACTGAGCTCACCTAACCTACCAGACCTAACCTAACCCACCTCAATCATACATGAACCGAAGATGAAATAAACTAACCCCAATTTCTAAACAAAGTAAGGACCAATTGTAGCGAACATGAAAGACGTTCTCGTTTCAGAACGTCGACGAAGATTCGCTCGATATCGAATCTTACGTCATTGATGACATCATACAATGATAATAAAATGTTCCAAGTAATCGAGTCGAATAATATTCCTCGTTTTAAAAACGTCCCGTACAAGAACATAAAATTAATTCATTGCTCGTCGTTCAATTTGCTTTCTGGCGGACTTCACAAAGCAGAATAAACAACAGGTGACGTAACCGGCAGCAAAGAAACGTGTTCGAAGCGGTCGATTATCTCTTTCCCAGGGATGTCTTGATCACAAGCTATGGTGTAATACGCTTGTCAAAGTTAAGAACGAGCCCGGTGCGACCCACGGTTCGTTACACCCTGATTCTATCGTTTGTACCCACGCGCGGGCCACCTAATCGAACCACAGGTAAATAAAAGCACGTGGCTGCTTTGAAGGGTCCGTTGTCATGCTTGGCACGTGCTGTTATCTAGATTAGGGGACTTTGACACTCTGGGTTAGGGGATTTAGGAATTTGAGGTTACAGGAATTTGGGGATGTAGGAATTTGGGAATATAGGAGTTTGAGGTTGTAGGAATTTGAGGATATAGGAGTTTGAGGTTATAGGAATTTGAGGATATAGAAATTTGGGGACATAGAAATTTGAGGTTATAGGAATTTGGGGATATAGGAGTTTGGGGTTATAGGAATTTGGGGACATAGAGATTTGAGGTTATAGGAATTTGGAGATATAGGAGTTTGGGGTTATAGGAATTTGGGGACATAGAAATTTGAGGTTATAGGAATTTGGGGATATAGGAGTTTGGGGTTATAGGAATTTGAGGATATAGGAATTTGGGGACATAGAAATTTGAGGTTATAGGAATTTGAGGATATAGGAGTTTGGGGTTATAGGAATTTGAGGATGTAAGAATTTGGGGACATAGGAATTTGAGGTTATAGAAATTAGGGGATATAGGAGTTTGAAGTTATAGGAATTTGAGGATATAGGAATTTGGAGACATAGAAATTTGAGGTTATAGGAATTAGTGGATATAGGAGTTTGGGGTTATAGGAAGTTGAGGATATAGAAATGTGAGGTTATAGGAAGTTGAGGATATAGAAATGTGAGGTTATAGGAATTTAGGAATATAGAAATTTGAGGATATACAAACTGGAGAATATAGGAATTTAAGGATTGAATAAGTAAATATAGGAACATGGAGATTAGATATAGGAATACCTCAAGCCTCCCAAATCAAGGGTTACTACCCTACGTAATTCAAAAAGGGTAGAAAAGAGCGCAACCCTTCGAATATTCGAATAACCCTTCGCAACCCAGCGCATATTCGAATCTCGTGTTTCATTAATTCCTCGACGGATTCCTTGACTCAGGTCGAATTTACAAGCGTACATTTTCTCCGTAATCAATCGCTGATGAGCTCCAGTAATGACGATCGGCATCTGCAGGGGCCGGAAGTGTTGTATGGAGAACGTTACGATAACCGGCGGTAAATTGGAAACCCGATCAGTTTGGATTATTAGGTTCGTTTGTGGCCACCTATCTTGAAGTCGGTAAATTACACGTTGCTACCGCCCTGCACTTTCTATTTTACACGTGTTCTTCCGGTTCATTACCGACAGATTATTCATGAGGAACTTGCTACCCTGTCCACTATATTCTTCTAATGAATCTTACTATTTTTATCTTGTCGATCTTTGCATACGATCACTGTAATCATTCAAAACCTGACAGGTTAATCATCAGAAGATGACTGGTCAGTGATCCACACAGTAGGCGAGTAGTGTCACAATAACCTAAAACAATATTTCAGTTATTATTTCAATTTCTACATATTCTGTAACATTTAGGGACTCTAAATAATTTGAAGCTTCCTTCCATTTCCATAAGCAAAGATAGTTAACAGTGCAACCTCTAAATCGCCATCCTAGAGAAAAGAGTAATGTACCATAATCAATGACAAATTACAGTTATTCAGATGGTTGAAGCTCGAAGACAATATCGAAGGATCAGAGTAATAAATTGCTAAATTGTGCGGTTGAAATCGCTCAGAGATTCGCAACGGCAGATGATAAATCCTTGGAATAAACGCGTAATGCCAGGGTCACGCGTGGTCGTTTCCTCGGGACATTATCGCGCATCCGTTCTCTTTCGCGTCAAACAATTCCATATGTTATTGCGCTAAACGTTTCACGAGTGCTATCAAGATCTCTCGGCAGTGAACCAAGAAATTCGAAGCTGCCTTAATCGATGGAGCCTTTGAGGCGGGCAACGAAGTGCCAAGGCAAGTTTACAAATGACAGAAAAACAGTTTAAACTACTTTATTTTCTAGTTGAACGAATCGCACGATCGACCGTGGGGGAATGTGAACAAGCCTCACCTTGTGAGGCCACACAGAGGGCTCGATTCAATGAGCCACGAACAAGGACAGAGCTTTCTTCCACGAGCAGCTTAATCTCCACGCGAGTGCCATTTCCTTCCTGTGATTCGTCGCTTGTCCAAGTGTAACCCACTTTTGTTTTCTCGCCAATTTATCTGCGTCCGCGTTAGACAAGATACCTCGTGGCGAATAAAAACCGTTTCCTACATAGACGATGTTCACGGCCGAAATTCGGACTTCGAGGAAAGGAAAGTGTCCGTGATACCGGCACAGCCTACCGCGGCTTTCGAGAGCACCGTAAATGGCCAGATTATGCATCGGTAGATGATGAAACGTGTCCTCCGCTTTCTCCAATGATAAATCGGTATCGCACGAGGACGATTACGCAACGTGGCACAATTCGACATTCCTCAGATCGTACAAGCCTATCTATACCTCTGCGACGTTTTGCGAATGCTCTACAAACTACAAATAGCAAATATCTTCGAATCCTTTGTGAGGTTATGTGTGCTTTTGGGTCACCACTGTAGTGGGCGCTGAAAACCTGACCACTTTCTTTAGGGAGGTGCCAAAGGGGACAGCAGAAGCCTATCTGTAATGTTGCGAATGCTCTAGGAACCTGAAATAGCACATTTCTTAATGTATTGTGTGAAGTTGTGTCTAATTTTGAATTACTGTTGTGAGAACCTGATGACTGCTTGATAAGGTGTTGACAGTAGATGCCTTCCTACAACGATGGAATGTTGTATGCTTCACAAACTTGAAATAGCAAATATCTTCTAGCCCTTTGTGAGGTTATGTGTGTCTTTGGGTCAAGAGAACCTGGAGATCTTTAACACATTGACTGCCACATTGAAATAATTGAAAATTGCATCCAGTATGTTTTAATTTTTAATCAATTTTACCAAGTATTTTCCATGTATCCATGTAGTTAATGTGAGAAGTTTTTATTAGGAAAATGAACAAATTTTTAATAATATACATCAGTTTAGAAGCTTAAGTGTCATATGTGATGTGGCAGTCAACATGTTAAGATGCAACGTGTTATAGCAATGACCATTTTACAAATGCTTCGCTGACTAAAATAACAAATTTGTTATAGTACTTTGTGAAGATTGTGTAATTGTGAGTCACTGTAGTGCCGCTAGAGTTCATCCACAGCGATTTACAAATAAAAATAGGAAATTCCAGAAAAATTTGACATACCAATTGTCATAGATCAACAGCAAAAACGTTGGCCAGGAAACGAAACAAGAAAGGCTATTTAACGGGACGCATAAGCGCAAAGCAAATATATCTGGGTAAAAGCGAATCGCGTCACGGGTCGATTATAGATTCGAACAGTTCGCAAACGTAGATATTTCGTCACCATTCAATGGAAATACAATTCCAATAATCCCACTCCTTGTTTCCCCGATATTTTTGTCTGTAGTTACAAAAAGGAAACTGATTGTTTCGTTGAGCATACTTATCGCTCTTTTTTATATTCCGTTAAAATCGTCAAGTTTATAAAAGGGGTCAAACTTCGACAAAACATGTTTTCTTCATTTTAGATACGATAATGTATTCGAATTAATAAATCGTGACTTCACCGTGTTTCGTTGCATTAAAGCGTGACCGTGGAACCTTCGGAGACCCCATAAAACGGAGCAGACGATCAAACACGAGAAAAACGATACAAGTAGGGCAACGGAGCGAAAGAAATGCGAAAAAAAATTGGAGCTGCACGGCTGTGCGTTGGCTATTTTCATCAATTTCGTCACTCGTTCCGCCGAAAAACTTTCTGTTGTTCTTACTCCCGAGAGAAAGAGAAGGAGATCGGGTGAGCCTCTATAAATACACACTTACGACGATATGGATGGTGTAAAATATGCAACAAACGTCGTTCCAGTTCAAGGAGTGAACTCAACTCGGTCAATTAGTTAGCCACGAGACTAACCATTCAGGGTGATTAGAATTTTCTTTCTCTCTCCCTCTTCTCTCGTCAACGATGAAAGGAAGACTCGTGCCTTCGGTAGATAGTCATTTATCGACATTATTATTGACAAATAACGTAATTGACTGGCGATTCATCAACTGCTGGCAAAGATAATTCATGATTCTCTATTTTCCTTCCTTGTACTTCAAATTATCTCCATCATTTTTTACTTCTATTCTTCTGCAATTTTAAATATTTATGTTATGATTAAAACTCTCAAAGACACATGTGTATAACAGATAAATATACAGAAATAGAATCTTATAATTGTAAAATAATTTCTATTTTGGGTACTGAGTTAATAATTCAACGGGATAGACAAAATTGTAATACGATACGCAAGCTGAAATTAATAGTTCCGTGTTCCAGAAACCGTCAGATAAAAGAACTAGCAATAACCTGTTTTATGGCTACTTAAAGCGAGCCAGTCTTTCGAATTCGTTTATAGAACGTTTTAAGGGTTCCAGAGTCCCGTTAAGAATAAACTCGCTACACAGACACTCTCCATAGAAAGAACAATAAAAGGAATAAACAAATATGAACACGTATCAAGTGTATCTAAATCAGTGCCTCAGAGTGTATAAAACTGTGAAAATCCTCCGAAAATATCTAGTGCAATTCCTCGCTCAATAGACAGAAAAACACATCGGTGAAAAATAAATAGCAGCATCTTCAAGCTATAAACAGCATCTCCATTATAAAATCAAGCGATAAAAAGAGCATCTCGGGGCAACGTCAGTTTACACACTCGATCCAGATTTCGTTGTTGCGATCCAGGTCGAACATGACACCCTAGGATCCAGCCTCGAGAAGGTATCAGGTCGACGGATTCTTCTCTGGTGGAAGAAAAAAAGAAGACGAAAATTACGAGGCGGGAAACAAAAGGGATGAAATTTGATTCATCCCGGTCGACCTGGCCGCACAAAAGGCCAGACACACGGACACAAACAGAGGCAGCGGCCACAGACGGGTCGGGAACGGACGTGTACGGTAATCGTCGTTAACACCTGCAATTAACTTTGACGCGGCTCAGAATGTGGGACGCAAGCGACCCAAATACCCGGAGTCGTTGGTGTGCGAGCCGAGAACAAAAAACGAGCAATTTTTCCAGCGGATTTTTCACACCGCCAACCCTCCATTCAGACATTTCCAATTATTTGTCCCGTGCGCGTGTCTGCGCCCGTGTCACCGGCGTC